AACCCCCTGCCGCAGGGGCAGGCGTTTTGGAGGAGCACCTGCCTGCTCTGCATGGCCAGCACCTTTCATGCCCATGTCCAGTCTGGGTGGTCGGGATCCTTCTCCAGCAGAGCCCAGGTCCTCTGTCTGCTGGCAACGGCTTTCTTCTTCCCTTAGCAAGACCCTGCCTTGCCTTCACACCCGTACGTGATCGGCCTGACTGGAGGAACTGGGAGTGGGAAAACCTCCATCGCCAAACTCCTGGGGCAGCTGGGAGCGTTCCTCATCGATGCCGACAGGCTGGGACACACTGTCTATATCCCTGGTGGCCCTGCCTACGAGCAAGTGGTGGCGGCTTTTGGGGCAGGTAGAGTCACCAAAGGCTGCGGGGAAGAGTGGGAGGAGGAAGAGGAGGGAGGGGTGTGCCATCGTCACAGTGTCCCAGGGACCTGTCCTGGTCTGCATTCCCCACCCTACCCCCTGTGGGTTTTGGGCTCCACAGCACCTGGATGGGGCTCGGAAGCTGATTTGGTGATGGTTTGGCCGGAGAGGGGCAAACCACTGCTTTCCCCAAGCCTTGCACACCCCGTGCCAGGGCTGCTGGAAACTGGCTGGTGTGGAAAGCTAAACCAGGCTGCTGCTTGTCTCAGAAAAGCTCTTCCTGGTCCTTTTCTGGAGTAGGGTGAAGAGCTGGCGGGTCAGGTCCTACAGCTCCTTTCTGGGTGGCTTTGAGAGCCCTGTGCTGAAATCCTTTCACACTGACCTAGACTTGCTGCAGGGACCGGAGTTGGATTCATTCCTCCCAAACCTGTTCTGCTTCTGTCTTGCAGAAATCTTGAATGAAGATGGGACAATTAACAGGAAAGTCCTTGGGGCCAAAGTGTTTGGAAACCAGGTGAGAGTAGCACAGAGACTGTCAATATTTGATCTCGGGAGCTCTCCAGGATTTTTATTTTTCAGCCCTTTGAGCTGCTGACGCCTTCCTGACTGTACCTTGTGTCAGTGACGTACGGATGGGGCAGGACACGGAGATCCTGTCTCTGGAGCTGAGTCAGCAGCTGTGCTGGACACGCTCCTCTCACCTTGGCAGCTGCAGCTGCCTCCCTGTCCCCATCCCTGTCCCCTCTGTCCCATGCTTGTCCTTCACCCTGCGTGGAGCAGTGGCCCTGACGTACGCGGAGCTGGTGCTCTCTGACCCTTGTGCAGTTTGGGCTCGTACCCAGCGGGGCTCGGTGACGTGGCAGCCGAACCCGACCCTCTGTCCCTGGCTTTGTTGGCCGGGCCAGTGCTCAGCTTTTCGCTCAGGTCCTGTGGCTGCCCCATCCCAAGCGTGAAGGCAGCTCGAGGGGTTCCCCAAGGTGGTTGGGTCTCACGTGGGTGCTGCTGCGTGAGGAGCTCGCTGTGCTGCAGGGAGAGTCTCTCGCAGCAGAGACCGAGGTTCTGCTGTGCCTGGGCCCCATCCCTGGGCGTGGGAGCCTCTGGCCAGTGCAGAAGCTTTCCTTCCTTCCTTGCCCCCCAGGCAATGGGCCGTGTCCCTCCCCCGTGCTTTAGCAGGTGCCCTCTGCCTGCTGCTGCCAGCGATGCCCTTGTCAGCTGCCCCAGGGTTCTGAGGGCGAGTAACCAAATCCCATCATGGTCCTTCTAGGAGCGGCTGAAGAGTCTCACGGACATTGTGTGGCCTGAGATGGCCCAGATGGTCAAGGAGCAGATCAGGGAGGCAGATGCTCAAGGTAACTGGGGCAGTTCCCATCACAGCACAAAGGTGGGATTTGGGTGCACGGTGGGCAGCACCCCACAACCCAGAGCCTCTGGGAATCTGTGGCTTCTGGCAGCACCGTGTTTTCCATGCTCAGACCGGCCTCTCCTCTGCTGGGCAGCTTGCTGGGGATTTTCACTAGCACTGAGCAAACCCCTCACTCAGCTGGGCTGGCAGCTGGGACAGGTTCACCTCAAGCTTCCTGCTCTGAAGGAGCGTGGCGGTTGCTTCCTCTTTCCCACATGACTTCACGTTCATTTTGGTGTAGAGCTGCAGCAGTGAGTGTGCTGTGTATTCCTCTGGGAGCTGAATTTTCCCAGCTCTTGGAAGATGCTCTTGGTAGCTCAATAGGCATTTGGCTGAAGCCATTGGCTTGCCATGCCCAAGCGACCTGCTATCCCAGGTGAGCCCTTTAAGCAAACACAGCCTCTGCCTGCAGCTCTCCTTTCCATCTGGGGTTCTTTACAGCAGTAAAGTGTCTGTGCTGCCAGTTTGCAGGAAGATTTGACTCTACAAGCCTAAGTGGACTGGCTGGGGTGGACCCCGAGGAGCAATACCTTGTGATTGCCAGGTAATGAGGAGTGGCCTCGTTCCACAGGAAAGGCCGTGTGCGTGCTGGACGCTGCCGTGCTGCTGGAGGCTGGCTGGGAGGCCATGGTCCATGAGGTGTGGACGGCCATCATCCCGGAGGAGGAGGTGGGTGATGTCCCTTTGCCCATTGCTTGCTGCTGGGGCTGGTTCTCAGCTTCCCCTCCGA